TTTTTTTTTTTAAAAAAAAAAAAAAAAAAAAAAAAAAAAAAAAAAAAAAAAAAACCTAATCTGAACTCTTCTGATTAATCCTGACTTTAGTTACTCTTCAACCATGAGATTTAAAACAGTAAGCATCTAATCAAAACTAAAATAATCAGATTTTTTTAACTTGTTTTGTTTCCTCTTTTAAATTCAGAACTTTACATTATTACCCAACAAAGTCAGTCACACAGGAAGCCCAGGGTCTTCATGCATTTCAGGCCTGCAGAGATTCAAAACTTTAGTTAAAATAAAAACAGCTGTAGGTTCAGTCAAACTAAACAACTGATATTTTCTGACTAAATTAATAAAATGTTGAAATTCAAACATGAAAGTTTTATTAAAACACGTGAATAAGACTTGATTATTTGTACTTATATATAATAATATTTTTGAAAGGCAAGACGGAAGTCCAGGTGGAGCTAATATATGCTGATCATCAGGTTCCTTAGTTTTTAGTATTTCACGTAGAGAAATGCTTTGACAGTATTTTCTGTACTTTTACCAGCAGATGGCAACAAAATACAAACTTTACACTCAAACTGTGTTTTTTTTACCAACATGTGAGCAACAGTTTATCTTTGTAATCTCTTTATCTCTTTATAACTAACAAGACTTAGGAAGAGACTCAAACATTTTTTAACTCATCATAAAAATCAAAGTTATCAGTGCAAATAAAACTGAATGTTTAGATTTCACTGCATTTTTTGTGTACCTAGCATCAAAAACTGTACATTAAAATTTTCTAACAAACATTTTTTATTCATAAATTAAAATTGAACACAACTCACTAATGTGAAATATTTAATTTAATTGCACATTTTCTTGGCACTGCTGAAGAGAAACTGGTGCCTTAAAACTCTGCCAAATGTAAACACTGTAAATCATTTCTATTTTCTGCTGACTCACAAAAGGTTGATAAGGTTCATCTGGGTATTGATATATCAGAGGTTCACTGACATCTTATTTAACTGCTTACATTTTCCTGACACTGTGCCTTAAATAACTCTGCAAATTAAAAACACTGAAAAACATAACCACTACCTGCTGGCTTATCTCTAAAGATAAAGTTTATTCTGACCTGTAATCCTGGGTAAAGATCAACTCTGTCCTCTGTTTTGTTGACATTTGAATCAATTTAAATTGCTAAATAACATATATCATTTTATGTTGAAATGATGCAGTATAATAAAAATTATATTCTCAAAGTCCTTCAGGGGGTTCTTTGAGGCCAGGTGCAAGAAATTCCCCAGTACCGGCAGGCTGGGGGATCCTGGTGGGAAGTTCTTGGGTCTCCGAGCTTTAAGTTGAAAGAGGATGAAGCAGAAACAGAACCACAGCAGAACTATGGAGACAAACATGGTGCTGGACTGGAGTGGTCTCTGGTGGCTGGGGTTCTGCGATTTGATTCTGGGGTGGATCCTCAACAGCTGACCCCGGACATGAGACTGTCAGGGGTCAGAGATAAGTGACATGAGACTGTCCACGGTCAAAGATAACTGACATGAGACTGTCCACGGTCAAAGATGAATAATAAATAATAATAAATATTTTCGTATGTTTTCAGATTCATCGATCTGTGATGGACTGTCCAGTGTGTACCCTCCCCTTTGCACTGTGACTGCTGGAAATGGACACATGTGACTCCCGTGACCCTGAAAGGAAAAAATGGGTATAGATAATGGAAGAATGGAGGGACGATTCATCGATAAATAAAAAAATATTTAATTAATTGACTTTTTAAGTAGTCATTAAATGCAGACCTAAACAAATGTTTTGGAGCTGTAAGTCTACCATAATTTTGAATGCACTTATTTTTATCCACCTCAAAAAGGATCTCTTTCTTTAAATCTTACTCTTCTGTTATCTTTAATGCAGACTGATACAAACTATACATCAAACCGTAGGCATTTTCATTTACTGTCAGACAATATTTGTGTTTTTTAGGAAAAGTGTTTTTTCTCTCAAGATGCCTCAGAAGTCAGAGTGGTACCACTTTTTGTGCTATTCTTCAACATAATATACTGTATTTTTCTGACTTGATCAGAACTGATGAGTGTTTTTAACTTGTTATATCTCTGATATAAAGTGCTGTAAAAATTTCAAATTTTACACAAGTGAAAACCAATCTCTTTGCTGTCTCACAGTTCAAGATCTATTTTAATTTATTCACACAAACCAAATCTCTCTATTAGTTTCTCAGACTGTAGATCAGTCAAGATATCTGTGAGATGATCGGGAAAAATATGGAACACAGTCAGAGGATCTTTGTTGTGTGTAAATGCTTTCTTTATGGTAGCATTGTAATAAAAGGAAGATAAACAACCAGGAAACTTCTCACTTGAATCTTTAGTAATAGGAACCACAGCTAACAGCTAATACAGACCAAGTACACCAGGGAGTGACGTTACATGTATTCCCCATCTACGACAAACCCTGTAGGACCAAATTAATCATTTCTTATATGATCTACAGAGTGGAAATATATTTGAGAAAAACTGTGTCTGAGACAAAGTTTAGAATGAACTTTAAGCTTCTAAACAATTGTTAACACTTAGATCCACCAAAAATACAATGGCGGCCAAAGGATTGGACAATGATCGGATTATTATTTAACTGATCAGTTCTTTCATCAGTTTCTGCAGAGCGTCCGCACCTCCTCACTGTTCAGACCTCAGCTGGACCTTCATCATATAAGGTTTTGGAGTCAACGTTGCCCCAAAAACCATAGTGAAGTCTGGTTCTCCAGCATCCTCCGGCCAGATGAATTTAAACTTCCTCAGCAGGGTCACCGTCATGAGGAACAGCTCCATACGAGCCAGACCCTCTCCCAGACACATCCGAGGACCTGAGATACCAGAAAATGAACCAAAGCTCTTGTCTGTTTGATCTAAAAAACTCTGTCCCTGTAGTCCAGGTCTGAAAGTAAAATGTTTCACAGGTTTACCTGCAGAGAAAGGCATGAAGGCCTCTGGTTTGACAAACTCTCCCTGCTCGTTCAGGAAGTTCTCAGGACTGAACTCGTGAGGGAACTTCCACTGACCCTCCTCCCTCAGCACTGACTCCATATTCTGGATGATTAATGTTCCCTGAAGGGAAACCAAAGGTATGAAAAAAGACAATAAAGATAATATTTCATTTTTACATATACTTGTGTAAATTTAAAGTTTCTCACCTTGGGAATGTCATATCGCATCAGCTCTGTGTCTTTAGTGGAGCAGTGGAAGGCACTGAGAGGAACAGTGTTGGCAACCCTCTGGACTTCATGGATCACAGCCTGGATTACAACAGAGATATTACAAAATGTATTGGAATAAATAATTTTAGGTATCGTATAGAAAGAAATCTCAGAAAAGTTGCAGTTTATCTGATAGAAACACATTCAGACATGCCTCTCAGATTAACCATTCAGATTAACAGAACAGGTGTGGGATGATGCTCATTACCTGCACGTAAGGCATGTTGTGTCTATCCTCAAAACTAACCCGATCCCTCCCATCCAGAACTCGATCGATCTCCTGCTGACATCGATCTGATGGGGCAGAAACTGTTTTACACATTTTAACTGTAAAATATACTGCCGGCCAAAAAAAAAAATCTCCACCTGGATTCAACTAAGCTCTATGATGTGGGGTTGCTGCAGGTGGTCAGGTCTAGCTTTAGCCACAGAATGAGTTCAGCTGACTACCTGTATATACTGAATGACCAGGTTATTCCATCAACAGATTGTTTCTTGCCTGATGGCACGGCCATATTCTAAGATGACAAAGCTAGGATTCACCAGGCTCTTATTGTGAAAGAGTGGTTCAGGGAGCATGAGACATTTTCACACATAGATTGGCTCCAGAGAGTCCATGGAGAACCTTTGGGATGTGTTGGAGCATGTCAGACTCTACCATCATCAATGCAAGATTTTGGTGAAAAATTATAGCAATTATTGGGCTGCCACCTTATCGTGGTGGAGAGGACTGAGTGCCCCAATGATCCTAGGAGCTATGTTGTTGGGGGCTTCATGCCCCCAATAGGGTCACCCAAGGCAAACAGGTCTTAGGTGAGGGATCAGACAAAGTGCAGGCCAAAGACACCTATGATGAGTACCATAAATGGATTACAGTAAGTGTTCCCTCGCCCGGATGCAGGTCACCGGGGCCCCACTTTGGAGACAGGCCTGGAGGTGGGGCACACTGACAAGTGCCTGGTGACCGGGAATCCACCCATGGAGCCCGGTCGGGCACAGCCCGAATAAGAGACGTGAGTCCCCCTTCCCATGGGCTCACCACCTGTGGGAGGGGCCGTATGGGTCGGGTGCAATGTGTGTTGGGCAGTGGTCGAAGGCGGGGACCTTAGCGGTCCGATCCTCGGCTACAGAAGCTGGCTCTAGGGACATGGAATGTCACCTCTCTGGTGGGGAAGAACCTGAGCTGGTGTGTGAGATTGAGAGGTTCCAACTAGATATAGTTGGACTCATCTCGAGGCACCGCTCTGGCTCTGGAACCAGTCTCCTCGAGATGGTTTGGACACTCTTCCACTCTGGAGTTGCCCATGATGAGAGACACCGAGCAGGAGTGGGCATACCTATTGCCCCCCATCTCGGTGCCTGTAAGTTGGGGTTCACCCCGTTGAACGAGAGGGTAGCCACCCTCTGCCTACGGGTGGGGGGATGGGTCCTGACTGTTGTTTGTGCCTATGCACCTAACAGCAGTTCAGATTACCCACCCTTTCTGGAGTCCTTGGAGTGGGTGCTGGAGAGCGCTCCTAACGGGGGCTGCCTCATTCTGCTGGGGGACATCAACGCTCAAGTGGGTAATGACAGTGAGACCTGGAGAGGCGTGGTTTGGAGGAACGGCGCCCCTTATCTGAACACGAGCAGTGTTTTATTATTGGAATTCTGTGCTCGTCATGGATTGTCCATAACAAACACCATGTTCAGGCATAAGGGTGTCCATAAGTGCTCTTGGCACCAGGACACCCTAGGCCATACTTTAAAAATCGACTTTGTTGTCGTTTCATCTGATCTGCGGCCACATGTTTTGGACACTCGGGTGAAGAGAGGGGATGAGCTGTCACCTGACCACTACCTGGTAATGAGTTGGCTCTGTTGGTGGGGCAGGATGCCGGTCAAACCAAGCAGACCCAAACATATAGTGAGGGTCTGCTGGGAACGTCTGTCAGAGTCTCCCGTCAGACGGAGCTTCAACTCACACCTCCGGGGGAACTTTGAACAAGTTCCGGGGGAGGTGGGGGACATTGAGTCTGAGTGGGCCATGTTCTGTGCCTCCATTGTCAAGGCGGCTTACCGGAGCTGTGGCCGTAAGGTTGTTGGTACCTGTCGTGGCTGCAACCCTCGAACCCGCTGGTGAACACCGGCGGTGAGGGATGCTGTCAGGCTGAAGAAGGAGTCCTATCAGGTCTGTTTGGCCTGTGGGACTCTGGAAGCAGCCAATAGGTATCGGCAGTCCAAGTGGATTGCGGCTCAGGTGATCGCTGAGGCAAAAACTCGGGCATGGGAGGAGTTTGGAGAGGCCATGCAAAAAGACTTCCGTACGGCTTCGAGGCGATTCTGGTCCACCATCCAGCATCTCAGGGGGAAAGCGGTTCCCCACCAACACTATTTGTGGTGGAGATGGTGCGCTGCTGACCTCAACTTGGGACGTTGTGGTCGGTGGGCGGATTACTTCGAGGATCTCCTCAGTCCTACCGACACGTCTTCCCATGAAGAAGCAGAACCCGAGGACCCTGGGTCGGACTCTCTAATCTCTGGTGCAGCGGTCACCGAGGTGGATGGTTAAAAAGCTCCTTGGTGGCAGAGCGCCGGGGGTGGATGAGATCCGTCCAGAATTCTTTAAGGCTCTAGATGTTGTGGGGTTGCATTGGTTGACGCGACTCCACAACATTACATGGACATCAGGGGCAGTTCCCCTGACTTGGCAGACTGGGGTGGTGGTACCCCTATTTAAAAGGGGGGCCGCAGAGTGTGTTCCAACTATAGGGGGATCACACTTCTGAGCCTCCCTGATAAGGTTTATTCAAGGGTCCTGGAGAGGAGGGTCCATCGGATAGTCGAATCTCGGATTCAGGAAGAGCAGTGTGGTTTTCTTCCTGGTCATGAAACAGTGGACCTGCTCTACATCCTTAGCAGGGTCCTGTAGGGTGCATGGAAGTTCGCCCAACCAGTCTACATATGTTTTGTGGACTTGTAGAAGGCATTCGACCATGTCCCTCGGGGACTCCTGTGGGTGGTACTCCGGGAGTACGGTGCACCAGGCCCATTGATACGGGCAGTTAGGTCCCTGTATGACCAGTACCAGAGCTTGGTCCGCATTGTCGGTAGTAAGTCTGACTCGTTTCTTGTGAGAGTTGGACTCCGCCAAGTTTGCCCTTTGTCACAGATTCTGTACATAACTTTTATGGACAGAATTTCTAGGAGCAGCAGAGGTGGTGAAGGGATCCTTTTTGGTGACCTTAGGATCGCATCTCTGCTTTTTGCAGATGATGTGGTCCTATTGGCTTCATTAGATCATAATCTCTGGCTCTCGCTGGAGCGGTTCGCAGCCGAGTGTGAAGCAGCTGGGATGAGGATCAGTACCTCCAAATCTGAGACCATGGTCTTGAGCTGGTAACTGGTAGCGTGCTGCCTCCAGTTCAGGGAGGAGGTCCTGCCCCAAGTGGAGGAGTTTAAGTATCTCGGGGTCTTGTTCACAATTGAGGGAAGAATGGAGTGGGAGATCGACAGGTGGATTGGTGCTGCATCTGCAGTGATGCGGGCACTGTACCGGTCTGTTGTGGTGAAGCAGGAGCTGAGCCAGAAGGCAAAGCTCTCGGTTTACCGGTCGGTCTACGTTTCTAGCCTCATCTATGGTCTCGAACTTTGGGTAGTGACGTGGATACAAGCGACCGAAATGAGTTTCTTTTGCAGGGTGCCTGGGCTCTCCCTTAGAGATAGGGTGAGAAGCTCGGTCATCCTGGAGGGACTCAGAGTAGAGCCGCTGCTCCTCCACGTCAAGAGGAGCCAGTTGAGGTGGCTCGGGCATCTGGTTAAGATGCCTCCTGGACGCCTCCCTGGTGAGGTGTTCCGAGCATGTCCCACTAGGAGGAGGCCCAGAGGAAGACCCAGGACACGCTGGAGGGACTATGTTTCTCAGCTGGTCTGGGTACGCCTTGGGATTCCCCCGGATGAGCTGGTCCAAGTGGCTTGGGAGAGGGAAGTCTGGGTCTCTCTGCTTAGGCTGCTGCCCCCACAACCCGATTCCGGATAAGCGGCAGAAAATGGAAGGACAGACGGATTATTGCAACACTGGATGGAAATACAGTAAATCTTGTGACATTGCAGAAGCTTACTGAAACAATGCCACAGAGAATGTGTCGTGATCAAAACTAAAGGTGGCCCAACCAAATCTAAGAGTTTTGACTTTTATTTGGTAGCGACTGTGTTTTGGCCATGCAGTGTAATTTCTTTACTTCAGAGCAGCCCGAATGTGATGTAATCTCTTAAAGTGGTTATGATGAATAATTTTTAATTCGTTTCGATCTGACAGAAGAGACTTGTCCTGAAGTGTTACCTTGGACCTGCGGATGGTTCATGAGGTACAGAAACCCAGTCAGGAGGGTGTTGGAGGTGGTGTCAGTTCCAGCAATATAAAGATCAAAAGTGATCCTTCTGAGCTGTTCCTCAGAAAATGAAGAGTCTTCTTTCTGGACAGAATACAGAGAATATTGTAAGAGAAACAAAATGTAAGATTTGTGATAACGCTGAGTCAGCATCCAGATGTTTTCCTGGTTTTCGTTTTTTTCTGTACCTGTCTCACATTCATCAGCATCATGATGTTGAAGTTTTATATTGTGTTCACACACCTGTTTATCCAGTTCATCCAGGTAGCAGTCCACAAAGTCTCGAGGTTCTCCAGTAGTCCTGGTCCTCTTGTGCTCGTTCACCATACCATTTGAAAAGTCGAGATACAGCTAAATGACACAGCTCTAATTAATAACATGCAGACTTGATGTTGTTAGTTTGTGTCTAAGCTGTGTGTAAATTACCTCCATGTTCTTAAAGGCCTTTTTAAATGGCAGTGGCAGGTACGAAACATATGGAACTGAGTCGTACAGCTGAAAGATGAATTATTACTGATTAGATCAAAGTTTATTTCATTTAATTTTACCATTATTTAGGCAGGCAAATCCCACTGAAATCGAATATCTCCTTTTCAAGAGAGGCCTGGGCCAGAAGGCAACCTTTGTACATATTTTTGGGCTGTGGGGGAAACTGGAGTACAGTGAGGGGTAAAATGTTAGGTTTAATAGAATTTAATCATGTGGATGTGGTATAGGAACACATAACAATGCTTAGATGATGTTTTGGACAACGTTAAAGGATGATAACGACTGCGGATGAGAGGAAAAGACACTTAAACTTAATGGGGTAAGGAGCCTGTGTGATTGGGCCTGATTAGAAGAATGGAAACAATTGAGCCTAATGGGACAGGAAACAGGTGTGATTGGGCGTGGTTAATGAGAAGACAAAAGGCAATTGAGCCTGATGTAATAAACAGGTGTGATTGAGCCTGTTGACAATAATTGTTTCAGGCCTACTTAGACTCACCATGGCCCACGGTCCGTTAAATATTTTCAGCATCTCTGTGAACCATTGAACAACCTTTTTAATGGTCTCATCATTGTACTCATAACGGGTCCCAAACAGAACCTTACAGATGATGTTGGAGGCTGCGTTATGGAACATCACCTGAGGACTCAGAGTTTTACCTGTACACAGAATAAAATACGAACATCACACCAACAGCACAACCAAAAGCTTTAAAGGGCTCCATGATTAGTTGTAACATTAGACTTTATTTGATAAAAAAATATTTCAACTGTAATATAAAGACTGTAAAAATACTGTAGGCTGTTTATTTTTGTAAATTTCTAAAAGTATATTTTAACACAAACAGAGCCATTTTATTTACACGCAAATCATTCTGGGTGTAGGGGTACACCTACACCTCTTATGACAGGTGTTATTTAGCAAGGGATCTCTTATCTTAGGTAAGCATTCCTCCAGTGCAAAAATGAATGGACACAAACAGTGACTCTCAGTCAGTGAGTGTTGATTTGATCCATAAATAGATGCAATAGTTTATTTTACAAATCATACAAAATCACTAATATACACTTAATTGTGAACAATTAATTTCCTATAAAAGTTTTGAGACCAACAATAACAAAGCTTTTAGCTTCCTAATTGTCAACCACAGACTCTTTAAATAGAAACACAAATATCAGCTTAGATGTTTAATACCAGACATTTGAGGCAATTAACTTAGGTTGGCAACGAAGATTTTAAGAAAAAGGAGGAAAGTAAGATGTTAGCTTTTCCTACTTTTAATTTAAATAAATGTGGGGTTTAACGAGATAGGCGAGGCTTTCTACTCGGAGTTTGGCCAGACAGTGAAGTTCATAACGCAGCCAGTTTTTTACCTTTAGATGAGGTCAGTCACCTTCCAGGTATTTCGGGTTCTGCTTAGAAAATATGTCTTAGGACCATCAACACAGAGGGACCCTCGGCGTGTAGGTCAGACTTTGCTTGCGTCCGCGTCAAGCTGTAGGAAAGAAGGCGAAGCCAAACCTAGATCCCGATTTCAGAATAAAACTTCCGGCAGGAAAGTTTTTCTAAGTGGATCGATCAGGCGTTGATCTGATCCAGGCTGTGAGGTTTCCTCTTTGGCGAGAAGAGATGAACCTGACACAGCTTAGCTCTTGATTCCCTGGAGAATCAAGCTGTCAGTGTGACTGATGAGCGGTCTGTCACTTTCTTCCGTCCGAGTGGAAACTCTTAGTTTCTAAAGAGCTCAGAGAATCTAAGTTCCACCCCGGAGGTGACATTAGAAAAGAAGTTATCAAGGAAAGTGTTAGTTTCAGAAACTTGCCATGCCTCCTGAAACTAAACAAAGATTATTGTTTCTGTGTGGTTCAGAAACAAAATATTTCATGACCCGTTTAATAATCTGATGAGAACTTCTTTAAAAACATAACTGAAAGAATGAATTACTTCAAATTCAAAACATTTGCAAATATGACTCAGACAAGTAAAACATTAATGTTTCATCAACTTTAAACCATGAAGATTATTTTAGTTCAATAAGATTTTGCACAGAAAATCCATACATAGCTGAATCATACTGAGGGATAAAAGAGATGTGTCCTCTTTTCTCCTGTAACTTTGATAAACATTCTCTGATTATCAAAATGCATAATTGTCAGTTAAGAGAACAATAAATCAAATTAGACGAAGATTCTTCAGTCTATTAACTGATTAACAAGAAGAGTGTCTCCTTGAAAAGTTAAGGCGACCTAAGGTGGCCTAAATTCAGTTCTGAGTGGAACAGAGTTTATGTCCCTTTAAAGGCCCAAGCAGAGGACTGAGGTCCAAGACAGTTTCCTTGATAATTTCACTCGAGGTGACCCCTACATGGGTAAATGATGACATGGATAGGTCCTCGGTGCGAGGCTGCTAGCGAGCTATTGTAGGAGTGGGGCTTAAGGTGAATTAAGCTTCTCCCACATCTCTCATACACAAGGTTATGAGGAAACTTTTACCAAGGTATTTCTCATTACTTTTAATATCTTGACTGTGCGAAGTGAAAAGTGACGCAATAAGTGAACGTTCAGACGAGTTTAAGTTGATTCATAAAAGACTATGCAATCATTTGTTTACACAAATTGAACAAATCATAAGTACACTTGATTGTGGGTATTCCTATAAAAAGTGTCAAAGTTAAATGAGATGAAAATCCGCGTCCAAATTTCAATTCACATCAACTCAGATTACTTATATAGAACAGTAAAACGTCAGCTCTGATGTTAACAACCAAACAATTTTACTGGCACTTTCAGCTTAAGTTTTGGCAAATAAGACAAGAAAAGGAGGAAAGTAAGGTTAGTATTTCTACTAATTTTACTTTAACAAAGTGTGGTTCAACCGGATCAGCACGTCCCTTCTGCGCTTAGATTTCCACATGACATGTCACCCCGAACACGTCAGTTTTACCTGGTGATGGCTTCTTGAGTCACCCCTGGGTAGGAACTGTCTCATCTCCGATCAGTCAGGGAACTTTTTATCGGCTCGCTTACTGTTCCTTGGAGAGTAGGTGTTTTTCAGGTAACTTTTCATCTGTTTCAGTCCAAGCCAGACAGATTCTAGCTGACATCCGGTTTCTTCTTTCAAAATAAAATCTCCCCTCGGGAGGTAAAAACACACTTGGAGGCTTGAAGCCTCGGGTGGGACAGCCTGCTAGCGTGCCGGGCCCCAGCCGTTAAGTCTTCCCTAGTTAGCTCATGGGTTAAGACTCAAAAGCCAAACTGAGTCTCTCCCGAGAGAGAAACTCAGCTTTCTTCCTAGTTGGCATCAGGAAGAAGAATGTGTCCGTTCCTCAAAGCCATCCGCGTTAGTAAGAGAAACGGACGATCTTTGGTTCCGCCCTCAGGCATAGAGATGAGTCAGAGAAAGAAAGATAAGATTTGCCAGGGTGCCAGCCCAAGGTTAAAATTCTATGGCTGTTCACAACAGGATGATAACCCTTTTTCAGCTTTCTTCTGATAGACTCTAAGAGAAATCACTGCAAAACATTTATGATGATTAATTAACATTTCTGTCTTATAATCAGTTCTGAACCGTTCTGTTAGTCC